AAGAGTTGGCTACATTTAAAAATTTCTATAGTGTAAGGGTGGGAGCGGGATGCCAGCCTCGAAGGGCGCTTGAATTCATGGAGTCTGGGAACCAGTGAAAGCAGCTCATCGGAGCAATTACCATGAAAGTATTTGTAGAAAAGACAGAGAGAGGCGACGGCGCGTCTGTGAGAGAGTGACTGTAGACGAGACGCCAGATCAGGGCCAATTATATTACATATCCGTCTCTGGATCTTGTCAAGAACTCCGAGGTAAACAGAAGGTGCCCCCAGACCATATATGGCAGAAATACTCCATGCAAGGGCGAATGGTTGTTTTGTATATTTGGAGTATCGATTCCGGAGAGAAAAATTTCCTGGCGCGGCACAGAAAGCCAACTTTCCTCGCGGTGGAAGAAGTCAACGTGAGACCGAGCAGACGCAGGGAGTTGCTCTCGAGAAGTTTACTATCAGACATTCTAATGGGGGGCAGGGAAGGGTCTCTATGGTGATTAATAGAGAGTAGTTTAGTTTTTGAGGCGTTAAAGTTGACCAGCCAATTCTTGCCCCAATTAACAACCGATTGGAGGTCCATTTCAAGACGTACGGCCAGGTTAGTTTTGTCAGCGACACTAGATTTGTTTTTGAGGCAGGAGTAAATTGTATATATTTAAATTGTACTTAAGTTGTACTTGTTGATTTTGGTATCACCAATTTGTAATTTTCGTGCTGGGCTGTTGTTTTTTCTAACAACTAGGAATTTCGTCTTCTTGCAATTGATGTTTCGTCCTTTCTCCTCGCCTTCCTTCACTACCTTCTGTAGGAGTTCTTGTAGTTCCCCTCTCCCCGTATCTGTAGTAAACAAAAAGTAGAAAGTGACGAGAGGGGGGTCAGAAAGCGCAGTGCGTCATTCGCCGGCAAACCAGCTGTTCTTCCTTCGTTGTCGGTCGCCTCAAGGAAAAATGGATTGCGAGACTCCCTTTCTCGGCCGTTACACCGGGCAGTCGTGGAACAAACACCAACTCAGCTGTTCCTACGTCGACTTCCTCTTTGTCAGTCAGTCAGTCAGTCAATTCGTACGTCCAACTCTATTGCACGAAGTCCACCGAATGACTCCCAATCTTCTGATCGTGCTGCTGGCATCTAGCTTTTTATGCCAGTCTGATACGACCGAAATTTGCATGTGTGCGAATATCGTCTCGTTTTGGATGAGATCGGCACGCATAAATTGCGTCTTCGATAGCAGCCATATTTCTTTCCCTCATTACTTTGCAGGCAAGACACGTTCGCACTCGTTTTGAACTTCGGGGTAAGTCATGTCTTTCGACACAGTATCTACTATCAACACCGTGTCATCTGCATATCTTATCTGCGTAGGTCTAAATGTAATAAATTCATGAAAAGGATTTTGCTGATCTAAAAACTGTTCGTGACATTTTGAAGAAAGGCCCTGTTGACTTTACAAAATATATTTGAGAAAGTGATGTCCTTGTAGAATGACATCGATGAATGTAATGTTTTGGATTCAAACAATTTTAACTGTAACGTTTATTTTGTTTCAATTATGTGATTTATAAGGAATTCAAGTGATACGTACATTGTTAGTAGTGTTTGGTATAGATGTGATCTGGGGGTTGCGTGACGAAGGTTCGTGTGGACCCGAAGCGTACCACTGTTGACTCTTTCATCTCGCTCTTTTATCATCAAAGTTAGGCTCAAGCGAAAGAATTTTCGACATTTCAACAGCTTGAATTTTTCATTGGCTTAAAGTACGATCCACGTTTTTTTTTTTTTTCACTTTTAGTCCATTTGAATTTTATTCTTTTAGGCAGGACTTTGTAGTTTCCTTGATACTTTTTTTTTAAAGGTTTCTTTTCATTTGTAATTCGGGAATGACTGTGGTCACTTCCAGTTGTTGTTCCTTTTATTTCCTTCGTCGATTTCCTCAAGGATGTTTACCCTTTCTCTCTCTCGATTGACAATCATGAACAGCTCAACGATGCACTGGTCGAACGTAACTTTGTTCATGTTTCTAGCCTGCTTTCATCAAATTGAAGAGATATGTTGTATAATTTCTATTACACTGTCAGACATTCAATTTGCACAGCGTTTGGAATAAATACTTAGTCGGGTTCTCAAATATGTTGCATCCGGCGAGGCTCAGAAATGAGCGTACAGGAGAAAAAGAAGAAGCCATTTTCCAGCAAAGACCGCTCAAGTCAACAGTGTACTCTACTACGTCCGTGGATGTAAATTAACATCAGCAGCAGTCACTCACCAAAGGATCTAGCACGTTTATTCGTTTCCCTCGCCAAGCACCGCGTCCTCGCCTTCTATATGCCGTGTCTCGAAAGTTTCCTGTTTCTTAATACTTTGTTTACATTTTGGAAAAGCATCTTTTGTTATTACAATGCGGCTTCAGATTTCGATGTCATATTTTCAGTCGTCTTTTACTTCCCAGATATTTAAAACTTCTTTTACATACTAAGGCTAATCAGACCGACAATGTCAAAATGGAAGCTGATGTGCAAAACGACCTCAAGACCGTCGTTAACTGGGGCAAAAAATGGCTTGTCAATTTTAACACCTTCGAAACTAAAATTCTCTTTATTATTAATAATCTGAGAGAGCCTTCACTACCTTCCATCAGTATGACTGATGCTAACCTCCAGGAAAGTGACTTGTTGCACCTTCTCGGGCTAACGTTTTTAGTTAACATGAAGTGGAAAGACTATATCGAATCCATTGCTAGGTCAGCTGCTAAGAAAGTCGGTTCACTGTGTCGGATAAGACAGTTCTTCTCTCTTGAATCTATCTTGCATATCTATAAGTCTACCATTCGTTCATGCTTAGAATATTACTACTATATATGGTCTGGTGTCCCTGCGATTTACCCGAAGCTCCTTGATAATATCCAAAGAAGAATCAGCAATATTACTGGTCCTGATCTGATGGCTTGGCTTCACTCACTTGCCTACTGCCGCAAGGTTGACACTCTGTGCCATTTTTTTTATAAATACTTTCATGGTAACTGTTCGGATGAGTTCTTCGCTATGGCACCTGGACTGTATAAATTTGAGCGCAGTACTAGACTGGCGGCGAGGTCGCATCAATTGAGCTGACTAGATGTAGCCGTAACTTCTACGCTGACAGTTTCTTTTTTCGCACCTCTCGTATGTGTATCTCCCTTTTGCCTCCATGCTCTTCAGCCAACTTTAACCAGCAAGAATATAAATGCAATACCAATCGCTATCTCATGTCTTCTCATTCTACTCATTACTAATGTTTCTGTTCCTAATTCCTCCACACTCTGTAACTCCTTGCATGTTAGTGGCTGTACTGCCTTGCTTGGGATGAAACTGATTTAAAAAAAAAAGAATGAGCAGGTTAGCCAAGAATACCGCATAGAATTCTGACAGTGATGGAATGCCTTTATTTAAGTTTTTGAATAGAAGACCAAAGACGTTTGCGAAAGCAGAATGTTGAAGACAATGCACCTCACGGACCCAGATTCCTTAGTGAAGGCTAGCCAGCACGTGGCGAAATGCTAAATCAAGGTGTTGGCATGTGTTCCCCTAACCATCCCTCCGCTTCTTCCTCCGATTTTACCATGACTGTCCCTCGTATAATAAAGTAAGATAAGAAAAATAAATAGTCTATCGTTGATGCAGTCTATGATGCAGCGTTGGGGACCTGAAGAACTGAACTCAGAGACGACACAGAACGCAACACTTTGTATTTAATTGATTAGCATACTAAACTCTCGGTGTACGCGCGACTAAGACGACCATATGTAATTTAATTATTATTTTAAAGAAGATTTAATGCATTACCAAGCAGTGAACTTTCACAAAATATCTTTATTCTTAAGATAGATTTCTCCTTTTACGAAGGACTTTGTATTTACCCCTCTAACAAGAATCCTACGATCATACGATTTTCTCAACTCTCTGGCTCATGACACATAGACGCTGATAGTCAAGCACTTATCTTCTTGTTCGTCAAGCACTCTGCTCCACACTTTAAACCCTTACTAATGCCGGCTTTTGGATTAATACAATATAATCTCCAGCAGCTAATGTGGAATGCCCTGCATCAGTTGTGGAAGGGGTGAAAAGTAATTCAAAACTTTGTTCGAGATATTAAACCAAAATATGGTCATCAATTTATTTTTAGTCTGTCGGTGACTAAAGTCGCAGCTTCGCCTCATTTCGCTATGGACAGGGAGAGTGGTTAATCACACAGTAAAAGAAAAATAACATCTATCAAAGGGCGGATGAACTTCAAGAACCAATGGTTAGTTGCTTCGATAAAACTATTGCAGATAAAGTAACTGGAAGTCATCTTATTATCCCTTCCAAGAACACCATAGCAATTCCCAACTTAGAAATATCAAATAAAAGATGTCACTCTTATGGTACTAACTTCTTACTCGATACAGAGAGACATATGCAGTAAGTGTCGCCATATCGGCGTTCAACGACTGTCCGTAGGAAAAAATTAAATTACAATGGATGTTTAGGAAAATGAAACAATGTAGGAAGTTGGACAAATTTCATCAGGAAATCTAAAGGTTGAATATTAATATCCTGCGAGTATGTGAAACAACATTTTATTAGTGACAATCACATAATCATATACGCAGGAGGAGAGAAAAACGAAAAAGTTCTTTTGGGGGTACTTGCAATTGTTAGGTGGAATAGAAAGCATAGTCCATCAATATGGTGATCATGAACGTCCAAAAGCTTTTTCTTGATTGATTGATTTGGTTTTTACGGCTTAACAACCTTTTTAAGGTTATTTAAAGCCAAATCATATTTTTAGATTATAAGAATATTTTGGAGATAATAATGATTTGTTGATAAAATTCTTACTATTTAACCCATAGCTGGGATGAGAAGAGGTGGTTTCATACCTTTCCCATGGGTACTTGTAAATATAACGAACCCGACCGGAATTCGACCTCGGCTCTCCTATTTCTCATTCCAACAAGTTACCCATTAAACCACATGCACACTCAAGCTTACAGCACTTAGTATTCTCGAGCCGTCACCTATCTAGGTATTGACCCGGCTCAACGTTGCTTAACTTCGGTGATAGGATGGGGACCGGTGTTTTAATGTGATATGCTTTTAAGCCTCGATGTCCGAAAGCACCGAAGAAGAAATAAAAAAAGTTTTACAACATATTAGAAAATGCTACTTAAGATAAACCTTTCCCAAACAATGACATGGAATTGGAATGAAAGCAGTGATGTCACCTACCCTGAATCCAACATAAAAATACAGGATGTGGAATTAGTAAATACTAAATACTTTAAATACCTTGGCATACGGATCAGTTATAATAGAGTTAGTATAGGAAAAAAGGAAATTGAACATAGAATAGGCTGCACCAGTGGTAGTTTTCCCCAACACCACAAATTGCTACAGAACCAAAACATTAACCTGAAAACTAGAGTAATGTTCTTAAATAGCCTCGTCAGGTCGAGAATTTCATATGGACATCATGCCTGGCGCCAAACACGTTAGAAATACCTAAACAGTCAGTTGTATAAAACAGCTTCCTAACATTGTGGACTGGCGCTACAGAATCACAAAGAACTGTACCAAATAATAGAAAACACATCACGTGAGGACTACCAACGACAGCAACAAATATAATGGATTGCACATGGAACTCGAAGAGAAAATAATGACATAACCAAAACGTTAGAATTCCACACTTCTTCAAATAAAAGCCTGGGGAGGATATCCCCATCAATACTGGAAAGAGCAATAACAGATACTAGACTTCAGAAACCCATTTTCCTCAAAAAAAAAAAAAAAAAAGAAAAAAAAGTGTTTTAAGAGAAAAATTTTACAAAGTTCAGTCGAAAACAGTTCTGGCTGTCCGGACAACGAATGCCGAATGTTTTGTTTTTTTTTTTCTTATAGTCTAATATTACTGTTGCACCGGCCTCTAACACAAGGGAATTACACCGGTTCTCACTATATATAGTGCCAGTAATACCTACCCGGAGTAAGCAGCGACAGTACTACAACTGCCTAGCTGAGTAGTACCCGTTTTCCTACCTTTGTATCTGTGATGTTAAATACACTTGTTCTTTAAACCAACTTCGACTTGATTTTCTTATTTTTACTATTGTGCCACGACACAACACTTACCATTACCAAATACCACAGCAAGTCGTACGAAAATTTAGACGTCATAGGGGACCTAAATCAAGAGTACGAAGGGAATAAATAATGGGTAAATGTGGGCTTTGATCACACAACAAACATAGAAATGATGGGTTATTTGGTGCACATCGAATTTGTATGTAATAAAGACCACTAGTTTAAATTTGTTATGGTCCGGTTCCTTGTACCACGGTGGTAGTTCAAGGTAGAATCACTTAAGAAGAACTCGAACACAGGTATGGAACAACACAGATATATTACAAACAGGAATATATACAGAAAAGTAAAAGTGTTAGTATGAACAATCAGGTTTAGTAGTAATTGTCTGACGCGACTCTATTTCGGACTGCCTCTGACTCGACTGACTGACTCGCTCGCTCTGACTGACTGACAGACTCCTGACTCCAGACTTCAGACTGAACTCTACTCCCTGCTTCCTCTTGAGGCGCAGTATTTATTACGTATGGAATAGTCCATTATGTTCTTATGGGTAAGGTCCCATAACAAAATTATATCCAAGAATTTTCCTACAGAATCCACGGCATGTAAAGGAATCTGGCAGAGAAATACATCTTGGCTTCTCGTTTGTTCTAACCAAACTCAATGTCTCTGTTTTAAACAAAGACAATCCATCATTGTCAGGTTTCCATGCCCACAGGGTTCAAACCATCCACACTGAGTTCAGGTCGTCAAAGTTCTGATCAGTACGATGGAGTTTGTCATTTTTGCCTAGCCTACACATTCTGTAGCAAAATCGACATAAACAAAGTGTTGCATATTGTTTGAAATGGTGTGGAAACATTTCTATTAATGAGGAGGAAATTTTTGTCCCTGAAATAAAAATCGCAAGTTTCAAATATCGAATAAACGATGTTTGTACTGAAAATAACATGCAAAAATATTCAATATTCCGTGGAAAACACTTAGACGTTAAATGTTTTAAAAAAGACGAAAGAGGTGCTCTTGAAAGTGGTGTAAATCTTTGGCCCTGTCTAACTATAAGGATCACGTTATAGTGATTAACTGGAATTTGTTTTTTGCCTTTTTTACGTTTTCAGGTGGTCAGATTGAATCATGGAAAATGTTTGCAGTTGCTTCGGTTTTAATTTAGTTGACTTAGAAATCTTGTCATAATAAAGACGATAAATTGTTTCTTTGCTTGCTTATTGTTGTAAAGTAGTTTTCACAGTGGAGGCTTGTATTTCGCTAAGTCGGTCCTAAAAGGGTCCGACGTACAAAACGTTAGGAACTTGAAATAAGAGTTAATGACGCAGAAAGCTAGTTGTGATGGTTGATACTTCAATGTCCGACATCGACTGACTCACTCAACTCCACTGAACCCAACTGGCGACCGCTACTACTACTACTACTACTTATTATGTGTGAGAGAGTCTATTACAATAGAATAGGTAATGTTCTAGTATAACACTTATCTTCGTCGAAAGTCAATCATAATTAACTATTGTATGTTCAAGTGCTGCTCCATATATTTCTTCCTACGGAGACTGAAGTTTAACACAGAACTCAACTGGAACTCATTTTACTGTAGCTTCCTCTACAATCTCTTAACAGTCTGTTGCAAAAAAGTGCTGGAAAATTGTCGGCTCCTCGTATCGCTGAAGAAAGTGCTTGACCGTTTCTTTATCTTTACAAGAGTCAGGTCAGACGAAAAATGGACTATTTCTGCCATATCTTATAAAAAAATGTTATTCCCTACCAAAACTTGTTCTTGTATCAAACAGAAAAACTTAGCAGGAACATGAAGTCATAATAGGCGCCAAATTACAAACAAAACTCAACCACTGTGTAGAATTTTTAAAGAAAACATACTTATTATACAATTACGAAAAAGGTACAAATACAAAATTTGTCCTCAAATTTTCTTTTATGTGCCTATTAAGGTACGATATCAATTTCTGATAAAAAAGATTACCATCGAAAAATGGAAAAAAAAATTACCGTTTTAGAAAAGACAAGAAGAGAAAACAAAGGTGCTGCCACCTTTGAAAAAAAAAAACGAAAATACCTACATTACTTGCCTCACGTGCGATTCTGGGACATATAGTAACTTTTGAAAAGACCCTTTTAAAAGCACACTGTTGGTGCTTGGGAAGATTTCTTTAAATTTTTTTTCGTTCTTTGTTGTCCAACCACAGGAGAATTTTCAGTTGAACTCTTTAGTCTCTCTGCAACGGGCTGGTTACTGGTGCCTTGATGCTCTCTTCTTGATGTCAAAAGCCTTCTTGCTCATTGATGTTGATTTGCCTTGTCAACTTGCTGTCAAAAATTCTTCTCGTCCACTGACCTGCTGAGATCTTATTTATTCAGAAATGTAGGCTCACAGAAGGCTACATCCAACTTTTCATAAGGTCATGAGAACACGGGTCTCATAATGTCACAAGATACGAAAAAAACAATTTTCCATAAACTTGAAATGGATCCTGACGATAATTACAGGCGGCACAAGATTTGAAAGAACCATACCTGTAACAAGTACCTCAACTACAGACACTAAAGGTTGCTGTGAAATCTTCACTATCAAATTTCCTATCAATATATTTGTTAATATTTCTTTGTTCAAATTCTATTTCTTATTTTTCCTTTAGACTTACACGAATCCACCAAAAATTGTTTGTAGGTCAAATGTGCCAGAAGCATAAACATCTCGTCAAAAGTGTTGAAGCTCTCAACAAAGGTTTCAGACGTTTTGTGCCTTCTAGACACGAATTCAGACAAAAGAAAAGTATACTGAAATGTAACATAATATCAGTCCTCCTATATGGCAGGGAATGCTGAACAATCTCTTCACAGATGAAGACGAGACTTGAAGCAGGAGAAATATGGTTCTACAGAAAGACCGAACATGTGACCAATAACGAGGTTTTAGAGAAAATGGAAGCCAAAAGGACACTTATATTTAACATCAGAAAGAGACAGTTAAAATTTCTAAAGCACATAATGAGGGAAAAGGGATTGGAAAATCTGATACCCACGGAACAGTTTGAAGGCAAGAGGGACAGAGGAAAACAACGCGTAATCTATCTGATGAGATTGTGTAAATGGATGGCAGAACAGCGTTTAGATAGCAAAAAATCAAAATTTACTAACAGCTACAAAAGACAGGAAATTGGGAAGAACTATGGTCAACTTCCTGAAGAGACATAGTAGTAGTAGTAGTAGTAGTAGTAGTAGAAGAAGAAGAAGAAGAATTATTACTACTACTACTACTACTACACAGTTGTGAATACTAATAAAGAAAAAAATGAACATATAACACAAAATGCTGTTCAGTGTCCTAAAGTTTAACAATATTTCGGCATGGTTTCCCAGGGTAAAAGTGATAGAATAGTTACTTAATGTGTGTTAGTCAGATGCTCACAACAGCTACACAGCTTATTAGAAGAATTATTTTTATTCAAATCACCAGGCGATTGCTGAGCCAGAAAAAATACATATACATTACAAATTTAGTTCATACAAATTTTGAACTAATATTTTGAAATTATGTATTCCATAGTCATTCAGACATAAAAATAAAAGTGTTGCATGTTTTTCTTTCAGAAATATATTTTATTAAGTCAAAATCTGCCCCCAAAAAATCTAATTTATGAAATATCTCAAAATCTAAAGAGTGGAATTAATCATTCTTGATTCAGTATATTTTTTAGTAACAGTTTCCTTTTGGCGTGGTCAGCGTTTCAGTTCTATTTTTTTCAAAATCATTTTACCCCAAGCAAGGCAATACAGCCACTAAGACGCAAGAAGGTTACTGGGTGTTAGAGAGTATGTGAAAAATTACTATTAATGAGAGAGAATCATAAAAGAACAAGAATTAAGAAGACAGAAGATAATGATTGAGATCGTATTTAAATTTTTGAAGATCAAAGTTGACTTGGAAGCAGGAAGCCGGGAGAGAGTTCCACAAGCAAAGTGCAATAG